AGACCGGACACATAGATCGGAAATATCACCTAATACAAAAGATTGTAAAGAGTGGTGATGTAGAGTTATGCAAAATTCAGACGGATGCAAATGTTGCAGATCTGTTGACTAAGCCCAAGCATGAGGGGCACCTTAGACCTATGGGCATTCGATGTCTATTTGATTGACTCTAGTGCAAGTGCGAGACTGTTGGAGATATGCCCTAGAGGCAATCATGTATGATGATATTTCCTATGTGTTTATGAATAAAGATAGTCCTCAGACATTATCAATGATGTGTATCGACAAGTACGTGGCTTGTTTGTGGGACTATGCATTGTATGATGACTGTCCTAAAAGGTCCCTAGTCAAAAGGGTTGTGTGGACACACAGCCGACTAGACTAGCATATGACACGGTGGATGGCTCGGTCTCACTAGCCATGGAGCATTGGATGTTGACTGAATAATATGGACTTGGAAGGATATGGTCGGATTCGATGTAGTCGGATTCGAGTCGAGATAAGGTCCGAGTCGGACAGACCCGACTATGAGACACAGCAATATGTCATGTGGAGTCTCTAGTAAAACATACATTCTATGTCCTAAGACCTAAGCTGGTGCATGTACTCAGGATGGTGACAGACTTGCTTTGGCCAACCAAATGCTACTCCATGACTGGGTTGTTACAATGGTAGGGTTCGAGCTTGTCCAGACCCATGCTACAAGACATGGTCGAGCAAGATGGGATTTGCCCCTCTAATCAGGAGAGATATACTCTGGGCCCCTCGTGTGATTCGACCAAGAAAAGCATGGCCATGCGACTAGGATTATGAGATAATCCGGTTTGTGGTCGGCATCACTGGAACGAGAAAAAGGTCGGACTAGCACAAGGATGAATGACTCGCCTTGAGCCCAACTACATATATCGTGTGGCAAAGCGAATAGAAGTGTGATGTATAGGTTCGCCTAGCCAGCTTCATCAAACACTTGGAGTTGGCACACTTTGCTAGAGGCCGCTACCGACTAGACAAGCGTGATGTGATCTGACTCGCGACCAAGTGAATGAGAACCTAAGGGGTCGCATGCTTAAGGGGAGGAACCGGTGATGTCTTATTCCAATCCACGAGTCAGGTGTGATCCTACTCAGACTCGGATCCAGACCAAACAGACATTGGGCTTTAGGGTCCATGCGAGGCCCAAGTGTTGAGCCTGCGACGGATGCCTATATAAAGTGGAGGTGCGGCACACTCAGGCGGTTGATCGCTTTGGCGTTGTCACTAGGTTTTGCATGTGTTGCGAATAGCCACCTCCACTCGTTGTCGGTTGTGTGATCAGACCTAGCAGTCCGCCGCATGGTGTTCCTCCTACACGCACGGATATCATTAGAAGCGACGCGCTTGCGTCGCTGCGGCAAACCTGTACATGGGATCAGACAGCCGACTGTTCGAGGGAGATCGGATGAAGAGGAGACGACTCCGAAGACACGCTGCCCCAACTCTACTTCCACTGCACGGCACTGCGCATCTAGTGGTAACGATACATGATCCATCTCTCATAGCATGTTCCTGGATGTTCTGCGGGTAAGATTTTTATTTATTTTATAGTCGACGCACCCTATCGTAGAACCCAACAATTGGTGAGCTCAGAGGAAATATAATCAAGTCACCAACCAGGCAAACTCCTAGCAAGATTCACACGAGCCCAAGATGGTATCCGTATTTCAAGGTGAGCACTACTCCTAGTTCATGCCTTGACATGCTTGTATTATTCTGATACAATCGTAGACCATGTTTTCACACCATTTCCATCACTGCATTGGCGTAATAGATGACATTGATGACCCACATGTATAGGTTGTAATTCTTTTCGATAAGTAAGAGTGTTGAACCCAACGACGAGTAGAAGGAATCGATAAGTGGTTTTCAGCATGGTATTCTCTGCAAGTGTTGTAAGATAGTTTGATAGCAAGATAATCGGTAACATGTGACAAGTAACAAAAGTAACAAGGTTCAGCAAGGTGACCCAATCCTTATTATTTCTAATGACAATCTGGAGGTACCTCTTATAGTGATTTAAGCATTCTTGAGGACACACCGGAATTAGTCAAGTTACTTTCATCGTGATTCATTGACTCGTGTTCATTGCTTTGATAAGTAGTTATGTGGGTGGACCAGAACTAAAGTGTTGTTCTTGCTTGAACAAACAACCTACTTATAATTACCCCTCCATGCAAGCATCCGCAGACATAAGAGAAGAATTAAGATAAATTTAACCATAGCATGAAACATATGGATCCGAAACAACCCCTTATGCTCATAAATTGGGGTTTCGGTTTCAGTCACTCCCGCAACCCATCATCTACAAACTAATTCCATAATGCCTTCCCCTAGGCCCAAACATGGTGAAGTGTCATGTAGTTGAGGTTCACACGAAACGACTAGAGGAAGAACAACACAACACATCATCAAAACATTGGACGGAAACCACTTCTCCCATGTCCTCAAGAACAAATAGAACTACTCACAAATCATATTCATGTTCATGATCAAAGGAGATAATAAGTGGTTAACAATCTGAACATATAATCTTCCACCAAGTAAACCTACTAGTATCAACTACAAGATGTAATCAACACTACTAGCACCCCCAGATACCAATTTGAGGTTTGATGCAAAGATTTAAAGCAAGGGAAGAACTGGGGTTTGGAGAAGAGATGGTGTTGGTGAAGATGTTGATGGAGATGAAGTCTCCCACAATGAGAGGAGCGTTGGATATGACGATGGCTTCGATTTCCCCCTCCCGAAGGGAAGTATTCTCGGCGGAATCGCTTCGTCGAAAAGCAAAAGTGCTCCACCTCTCATTTCACCTCGAGATGGTGGCGGCTGGTCCTGAAAGTCTTCTTTTCTTTTTTTCTAGGGTAAATAACTTATATAGGGGAAGATGGGCAGCAACGGACCTCCGAGGGGCACAAGCCACCCGGGCACGCCCTAGGGGGTAGGGCACACCCCCTCGCTTGTGGCCCCACCGAGGGTCTTCTTCGCTACTTCTTTCTTCCAGTATTTTTTTATGTATTTCAAAATAATTCTCCGTAAATTTTTAGGTCATTTGGAGCTCCGGAGAATAGCTCTATCTAATGTAGATTTTTCAAGCTCAAAATTCCAGCCGTCGACAATCTCCCTCTTGTCATGTATCTTGCAATTTAAGAGATAAATGCATTACAATTGCATCATAAAGTGGATTATAACTCTCAAACATTATAAATAACAGTAAGAAAACATGACGCAAAGTAGACGTAGCAATTACTCATGTGTCTGCAAGAGTGACGAAGTCACAAGCCGCATCATACATGGGTAGAAAGCACTACACAAGCCAGAATGTTCTTCCTGCCGTTGACTTTGATCTAAAGTTGACATATGTGTTAGCTGGCTAGGAAGGATCAGCCCATGATGCTTACATTCTTTCTCTCGACATGTCTCGACCTGATGGCAAGTTCTACCTTGGAGATGCTGCATATGCATGTCGGCCTCGTGTTTTTCTACCCTTCAGGAAAACCAGGTAACATCTGAAACGAGTTCTCTGGCATGAACTATCCTAGGGCTGCACAGGAATTGTTTTAATCTGAGACACTCTAGCCCTAGAGTTATGGTTTAGAGGGCATTTGGAGCTCTGAAGAATAGATTTAAGATCCCGGACTAGAAGCCGTTCCACACTTTTTCCACCCAGGTTAAGCTTTTTCTTGCATGTTGCATCCTTCATAACTAGATCCTACAATGGGGATATGATGAGCTTGTGCCGGGGGAGGAGATGTGACGGCTGATGATGTTGATAACTCTGACCATGGTGTGGAGGCTTTTGACAATGAAGTCTAGAAGAACAAAAGGATGGAGTAGGATGAGGCAACGTGGGCAAACAGAGCTCAGACAAGGATCTGAAGGAGAAGAAGCAACTGCAGCAGAAGAGAAGAAGCAACAGAAGAAGAAGGAGAAACAACAACAATAGAAGAAGAAGAAGAAGAAGAAGAAGAAGAAGAAGAAGAAGAAGGGGATGGAGTTCCACCGAGTTCGACGTCGATGTACTTTCCCCTATTTGAGCCATATGAATTTTAATTTATACTGCTATTTGTTAGTAGTTAGGATGAACTGACATTTGTTTCCTTGTTAAGACAGAAATGATGTTTCAATCATGTGTGGTAAGGTCATCACTAGTACGAAGGGGTGATCACACTGCAGCGCGCAACCAAACGACGGGTAGTGCATCAACCCAGTGCAACAACGGGAACCAAATGGCATTTTTCGCCCCAGAGTACCATAACACAAAACCGTATTTGTTACAAAATAGCATAAAATGATTGAAGATGAATAGATTGGAAGTTTTTTCGGAAAAAAAAGTACATGCGCGCCCAGGTTGGATTGGTCAATATGCCAGTTTAATAACCCACAAAAGATCCTGTCAAAACGCATTGCACCGTTCCCGTTCTCTCCCTATATCTCAATTGTTTATCTTTCTTGTTTTTTTTTGGAAGTCTTTATCTTTCTTGTTCAAAAAGTTTAGTTTGTTTGTCTTTCTAACTCTCCGCTCCCGTGTGAAAGTCAACATTTCCTCACCACCCACCCAAACCTACAACACACGAATTAGACGTGTCAGTCAGCTAACCCCACCCTCTCCCCGGCCCGGGGAGACCATGCACGCAACGCGCCCCCGCCGCCATCGCTCGCACCCCGATTCCTCCCCTCCTCCGCTGCTCCGCAATGGCGCGCGTTGGTCACCACCCCATCTCCTACACCACCACATCCCGACCGCACCACCACAGGTGCCGCCGAGTTCTTTAAAACACGAGCTCCCAGCCCCGGACAAAGTCTTAACCACACCTCGCCCGGGCTGCCTTGGAGAAGAAGCGCCATCGCCTCTTCAAACCCACTTCCCGACCCCTCATCCTCCTACTTAAGCTCGCCTCCGCGCCCTGTTACCTTTACGCCAGTAGCTAGCCAGCCAGCAGGAGTGCCGCGTCGTACGCACACACATGCATGCCATGGCGCGAGCCGTGCACGATCGCCTCCCGTTCCTCGCCTCGCCGGAGCCGGCGCTCGCGCCGCCGGCGCCAGCTGGGAGGCGGAGGAACCCGTCCCTCTCCGAGATGCTCAGCCTCGTCAGCGCGGCCACCGTCGACCCGGCGGGCACGGACGACGACGGCTCCGTGTTCTCCCTCCCGATGCCGCAGCCCGCGCCTGCCGGCGTCGGCGACAGTAATGCGGGCGGCGAGGGGCCGGGCCGGACCATCCAGTTCCGGCTGGCGTTCACCGACCTGACCTACAGCGTCCGGCGGGCGCGCCATGGCGGGGACGGCGTCGGCGGCGGCGGGCTCTGCCTCCCCGTGCAGCGCCGCTCCGACCGCGTCACGGCGGCGCCCGACGCGCACGCGCCGCGGACCAAGGCGCTGCTAGCCGGCGTCTCCGGGGAGGCCAAGGAGGGCGAGATCCTCGCCGTGATGGGCGCCAGCGGCTCCGGCAAGTCCACGCTCATCGACGCCCTCGCCAACCGCATCTCCCGCGACGCGCTCAAGGGCTCCGTCACGCTCAACGGCGAGCCGCTCACGGGCAACATCCTCAAGTCCATGTCCGCGTACGTCATGCAGGACGACCTGCTGTTCCCCATGCTCACCGTCACCGAGACGCTCTCCTTCGCTGCCGACTTCCGCCTGCCGCGCTCGCTCTGCGCCGCCAAGAAACGCGCGCGCGTGCACGCGCTCATCGACCAGCTCGGCCTCCGCGCGGCCGCCAACACCATCATCGGCGACGAGGGACACCGCGGGGTCTCCGGAGGCGAGCGCCGGAGGGTTTCCATCGGTACCGACATCATCCACGACCCCATCCTCCTGTTCCTCGACGAGCCCACCTCGGGCCTCGACTCCACGTCGGCGTTCATGGTCGTCAAGGTGCTCCGCCGCATCGCCCAGAGTGGCAGCATTGTCATTACCTCCATTCACCAGCCCAGCCAGCGCATCCTCGGCCTCCTCGACCGCCTCATCCTCCTGTCCGGTGGCCACACCGTCTTCAGCGGAGCCCCCTCCGCCCTCCCGACCTACTTCGCCGAGTTCGGGTACCCTGTCCCCGACGACGAGAACCGCGCCGAGTTCGCGCTCGACCTCATCCGCGAGCTCGAGGCGTCGCCGACGGGGACGAAGCCTCTCGCCGACTTCCACCGCACGTGGAAGCTCATGCACGCGGCGAGGGACGACGCCGCGGCGTGGGCGCCGACGATGTCGCTGAAGGAGGCCATCAGCGCGAGCATCTCGCGCGGGAAGCTGGTGTCTGGCGCGGACGTGTCCACCGGCGAGGCGGCGTCGATGCACACGTACGCGAACCCGTTCTGGGTGGAGATGAAGGTGCTGACGAAGCGGTCGGCGATCAACACGCGGCGCATGCCGGAGCTATTCCTCATCCGCCTGGGCGCCGTGGTGGTGACCGGCGCGATCCTGGCGACCGTCTTCTTCAAGCTGGATCAGTCGCCCAAGGGCGCGCAGGAGCGGCTCGGCTTCTTCGCCTTCGCCATGTCCACCATGTTCTACACCTGCGCTGACGCGCTGCCGGTGTTCCTCCAGGAGCGGTACGTGTTCCTCCGGGAGACGGCCTACGGCGCGTACCGCCACGTCTCCTACGTGCTCTCCAACGCCATCGTCTCCTTCCCGCCGCTGGTGGTCCTGTCGCTCGCCTTCGCGCTCACCACCTTCTTCGCCGTGGGCCTGGCCGGCGGCGCGTCCGGGTTCGCCTTCTACACGCTGGCCATCCTGGCCTCCTTCTGGGCCGGGAGCGGCTTCGTGACCTTCCTCTCCGGCGTGATCCCGCACGTGATGATCGGGTACACGGTGGTGGTGGCCATCCTCGCCTACTTCCTGCTCTTCAGCGGCTTCTTCATCAACCGGGACAGGATACCGGCCTACTGGCTGTGGTTCCACTACCTGTCGCTGGTCAAGTACCCGTTCGAGGGGGTGCTGCAGAACGAGTTCGCGCGCGGCGGCGAGTGCTTCGTGCGCGGCGCGCAGATCTTCGACAACTCGCCGCTGGGGGCGCTGCCGGAGGCGGTGAAGGAGCGGGTGCTGGCGTCCATCAGCTCGGCGCTCGGGGTCGGGATCGGCGCCGACACCTGCGTGGCCACGGGGCGGAGCGTGCTGCGGCAGGCCGCCGTGACGCAGCTCGGCAAGTGGGAGTGCCTGCTGGTGACGGCGGCGTGGGGCTTCTTCTTCCGGATCCTCTTCTACTTCAGTCTCGTGCTCGGCAGCAAGAACAAGAGGAGGTGATCACGCCGCCGTGCATTCGTACAGCGCGCGCGGATGCATACGTTTGATTTGAACCGTCCAAGGAAAGAAGAAGATGATGACATGATTAAGCAGACGCCACACTATCATCTATCGGTTTCTGTAATTGTTAAACAGATGTGCTTTTGACTTCTTTTTTTATCTACTTTTCTTCTCCTTGTGATTTTGCAAGTCAAATAATTAAGTGGTTCATACATATGCTTTCCTATCCACTGCACCTTTTGTTCCTTTTTCGTAGTGTTGTGAAACGTAGTGCTGCTATTTTTGTTCCAAAATGCTTGTCCAAATCTCATGAAAAACAAACGCAATCTGATGCAAAGTAACATGATTTTGTTGTGTTGTGGTCGATCTCTTATCCGTTTCTCCGGCTTCACTTTATTTGGTGGGGTGTGGTTTGGAACTTCACTCGTAATGCATGCGCCGTGTTGTTCACTGATGCAGAAAAGAAGAACGTTCCTTCTTATAGACACTGAAACGAATAAAGCAGGACCCCTTTCCGAACAACAGAGCACAAATGTGTGCTTATCTCATGTTACTATATTCCTTTTATTATGTTCTTAACCGAACTTCAGATGGTACTATACTAACATAGTGCATTCCAAGCACGCCTTGCAACGCATATTAACATGAAAATATCACGGCTAGCTTGCATGTTACTATAACAGAGACTGGGTTAGATAGGAAGCGTGCGGGAGGGAGACATGGGTTTGGTTGGGTGATGGTTAGATTTACTTATCATAACCAAAGGGTCATACGGGTCGTAATGAATGACCACGAGTATATCTGGCCATGGGCCAGGCCGGGCCGGGCTTGGGCCGGGCCTGAAAAGCCCACGACAGAAAACTGAGGCCCAGGCCCTCCCAAGCCCTATCACTGAGCCTACTTTTCAAGTCCAAGCCCAGCCCATCTGATAAAAAGCCCTAAAAAGCCCTTAGGGCTTAGGGCCGTGGGCCGAGCCTCTTCCTTAAAATGACAATATGCCAAGCCCAAGCCCGTCCAGGCCCTACTGATGGGCTCAAAACTTAGGCCCAAGCCCGGCCCATGGGCAAGCCCATCGGGCCTAGGCCCTGGATTTTAGGGCCGGGCCTGGGTGGGCCGACAGGGCCGGGCCTGAGATGGCCAGGACTAACCACGAGACAACGTACGCACCAGCTTTACGTGCTCTCCCGTTCGCTTCTCCGATACTGCATCCATCCGGAAAAGTCTCTGCTCTGCTCTGCTTTGCTTGTGCAAGTGCAACTGATCAGACATCTCTCTGGTTCTAGAGGAGAATTTAACAACAGTATTGTGGCGGAGAAAGCAGCAAGGATGGGTTTGGTTTCGCTTGAGCGCAACCATTGATTGGTAGCTCAACGAGTTTTCTCTAGAATATATCACTTCCTTGAAACGTTTTTCGTACCGCAAAACATGCCGCTCCCCCTCTGAAAATGTACCCGGTACCGAAACATAAAAATGGTCAACACCTCCTACTGTCAGTGGTACTGCTATGTGCTAGTCGCGGCTCGTTCTTCGGCTTGGAACGGACGAAAGCGGTAACCGAGCCATTTCAGAGGAAGCAGCATCATGATCATGGTCGTCCGAGGGGCTGATCGTTGGCAACAAGATTCCCGGCAGAGGCTAGGAGCAGCACCTAGGGCGTCCCTCTCTGAACCCTCTTTGGGAGAAGAAAAAAAGGAGCAGCAGAGCACAGGCTGATCTGCCCGGCCGGCGACCGGCAGGCGATCGATGCATGCGGGGGTGGAGACGAGGAGAGACGGCACGGCGAAGCCTTCTCCCTGTTTGAAAACTGTTCTTTTCCCGTACACCTGCACCTGGGAGTCGCTTCTCTCGCGAGCAGCATGGCGTGCGCTGCGTTGTGCGGTAGCCGTAGCAGTATAGTAATGCGCATGCATACGCGAGGGGCGCCCGGTCTTGGTGTAGGCCAGCGACCCCACACCCGAACGCCTACTCGCCGGATCGCCTTTGAATAGACAAGCTATTGGAGATGCTCTTATTGGTTTGTCTGATATCTTTCAAAGAAAGAATGATGCAATCTTTCACTTACTAATTCAGAAACTCCTTCTTTTCATTGTTAAAATCGCCATCATTCCGACACGTGTGTGATTGTTTAACATTGGAGCTTTCCACCATGAAATGTACGTACGTTAGAAGTTTACTTTCATCCAGTATTAGAATTCAGGGTACAGCTTGTAACGTGACATCAATTATTGAATTAATTGTTTCATGCCAATTGGAGTACTATTCAGGGAACTTAGTTGGTTTCCTTGGCCGTATCATGACGGCAGATGTTTGCTCCATTGAGCTTTTTCGTTTATTGATTAATACCAGCTTCTGTAGGTTGGTCAGAAGTGAGGCCTTGTCATAGTCGAGCAATGCTACACCTACGTAGCTGTTGTACGTAAACTAACGTGACAACTTAGGTGTCTTTTTTCTGTTGGAGGGAATTAGGGGGAGGGACCCACCCAGTTAAAATCAGGGGGGTGGAGGGATTAGTTTTAGTCAAGTTACGTAAGCGTACGTAGTTTCTTTCGTAAGTGTAGCATTTTTCGTCATAGTCGAGGCAAATGCCTTTGGACGAGTTGCGGTCAAGTGGACACTGTGATCACAGCCTGACAAGGGTGGGAAGAAAGATAATTGGTAACACAAGTAGGTGGCGTATAATTTAGCAATGTACTATCTTCTGTTGCAACGTACATACAATTATACTAGTACATGCGTGAAAACCATTACAATATTATTTTAATTATTATAACACGCACCATCGTACATACAAGCCTCTATCAATGCATGGGTGCTTAGGTGAGGTGCTAAGTGCATTAAAAACCTTAGCAACTAATCTCCCTAATGCATAGGTGTTTAGCTTTTGTACTAGCTAAGATTCTTTCATTTAATTGCTTAACACTTAAACTCCTTCATCATTGGTTGGTAGCCATTTTGCATAGGTTCACGCGCTTACCATCGTTTTCTCCTGCGGTCACAATAATGCTTTCTCCCGAAAAGTAAAATTGCGCGGTTCCGCTAGGTACCGGCAAGTTGGTCTCCAATTGGGAGTTGTCATCTCACACTATGTGGCCAAGTATCATTGTATTGCACTTTTTTCTATATTATTCATCTTCGTATTCTCTCTCTCTCTCTCTCTCTCTCTCTCTCTCTCTCTCTCTAGCAGTTAGGCCCCAATACTTCACATGCATGCATGACAGTGTAGCAGAATCACTTTTTCTTCTCCCACACAATAAATTCAACCATTTATTCCGCCTTAGCTAATTTACAACATTCATATCTTTTAAACCATATATTCCTTTTAGAAACTTTTTTTATATTTGAACTCCTTGTGCCAAAACCTTTAAAATGAGATCAATCTTGGATTTTTTTAGCACGTTGAAATTCAAACGTATATTACACATGTCAAAATACATTACAATTTCACTTTCCATAGTTACTATTACATAGTCCAGCACCAACTTTTCACTTTTCACTAGCTTGATTCACAAAAGAAACACCTTTAAATTGCACATTTTTCAAATAACATATTTCACTCTTTTGAAGTAAACTACTACACATGTTCAAAGAGTCAGTTTCACAAATGATACAACAGAATTTCACTTTTTATAGTCACTCTTTCATAATTCAAAACCTACATTTCAATTTTTACTACCTTGTTTCACAAAAATGACATATATTTCAATTGCACATTTTCCAAATCACCTATTTCACTCTTTTGAAATAAATTATTACACATTTCCAAAAAATCAGTTTCACAATGCTACATTTGTAGGATCGAAAGTATGTCTAGAGGGGGGTGATTAGACTACTTGACCAAATAAAAATCTAGCATTTTTCCAATTTTAGTTCTTGGCAGATTTTAGCAACTTAGCACAAGTCAAGCAATCAACCTACACATGCAATTCTAAGAGTATAGCAGCAGAATGTAAACAATTGCATATGAAGGTAAAGGGAGGAGTTTGAGGAATCAAACGCAATGGTGACACGGAGATTTTTTATCCGTGGTTCCGATAGGTGGTGCTATCGTACATCCACATTGATGGAGACTTCAACCCACGAAGGGTAACGGTTGCGCGAGTCCACGGATGGCTCCACCCACGAAGGGTCCACGAACAAGCAACCTTGTCTAACCCACCATGGTCGTCGCCCACGAAGGACTTGCCTCACTCGGGTAGATCTTCACAAAGTAGGCGATCTCCTTGCCCTTACAAACTCCTTGGTTCAACTCCACAATCTTGACGGAGGCTCCCAAGTGACACCTAACCAATCTAGGAGACACCACTCTCCAAGAGGTAATAGATGGTGTGTTGATGATGAACTCCTTGCTCTTGTGCTTCAAATGATAGTCTCCCCAACACTCAACACTCTCTCACAAGATTTGGATTTGGTGGAAAGAAGATTTGAGTGGAAAGCAACTTGGGGAAGTCTAGAGATCAAAATTTATGTGGTAGGAATGGAATATCTTGATCTCAACACAAGTGTAGGTGGTTCTCTCTCGGAAAATGGATAGTGAAAGTGTAGGCATGTTCTGATGGCTCTCTCCATGAATGAAGAGTGGATGGAGGGGTATATATAGCCTCCACACAAAATCTAACCGTTACACACAACTTACCAAACTCGATGGGACCGAATCGTTAAACTCGGTCAGACCGATTTAGTTCATAATGTGATCGTTAGGCATTTCGGTGGGACCAACATGTCAACTCGGTGGGACCGATATCATTAGGGTTAGGGCATAACGTAATCTCGGTGAGACCGATTACACAAACTCGGTGAGACCAATTTTGGTAATAAGCTAACCAGAGAGTTGGTCAGGCAAACTCGGTGGGACCGATTCGCTCATCTCGGTTGGACCAAAATGTTACGAAAGGGAAACAGAGAGTTTGCATTGCAATCTCGGTGGGACCGATCGCTTATCTCGGTTTGACCGAAACGTTACGATGGGAAACAGAGAGATTAAAATCCCATCTCGATGAGAC